ATGTATTTAAAAAAAAATTTAAAAATCCAGCACCGATCACAATACATTGGGTGGAATGGCGAATGGTTTGAGTTTCCTAAATTACTGATATTACCTGCTGATATGAGGGCTGTTCAAAAGGGCACTTCACTTTTGGGTTTATTTATTAAAATCCTGCACTCAACTGTAAGAAATTAGCCTCCTAGAGATGAATCGCTCCCTACTCAGGGGAGCTTGAAGCAAAGAAACCGATCAGGCACACATTGCTGAACTGCACAGTAACACAAGCTCCAATGTTTTACTACATCTCACATGCAAGGTGCTAAACAGCAATGTGAAGCATTCCTAAGGGAGACAAATGTTCTTGGCTTAAAAGTGATGCTCTTAGACATCTTCCTCAAATAATTAATGCCAAATTTACAGTGCTGTAGGATTATTTTTTTTTTTTATCTTGTATCTGGAAGCCCTTAACTGAGGTGAAGTGTGAAGCACAGGCTATTTGGCAAAACCTTGAAAGGTCTATACATCAGCTCTCAGGTAAGCATAAATAAGAAGACAGAATGTCTCATTTTATCTGTGAAATTTTAGGTATTGCAGCGGGGATACAATTCTGCCTTGACTTCTTGCAGTGGAAGTCAACCTATCCTGTCAATTCTTGGTTGGCTATAGAGACTTTACGCATTTCCTTCAAGGCATGCATCTTGAAAACACCAGGACAGAAGACATGTAGCTCAGCCAAGAGCAGCCTTGGCAGCCTGGAATGCTTTGCAGTCTCTCTCCAGCAGGACATACCGTGGTCATTCTCACTTTTCCAGCCAGTTTACAGCAGAATAAGCTTGTTGGTGTTGATAATATGGAATAGCTGTACACTAGAACAATGGTAAACCTTCTTCTGGGTAAGTTAATTACATGCAATTTTAATATATATAGATTGGATATGTGTGGGAAATGTTCACAGAATTTCATCCGAACCTTGTGATATACCACCCTGCAACAGGTTGCAGTTATGTTCAATGCAAGAGTTCTCAACAGGGAAACATTCTGTACAAAATTACCATTGCGTAACCCAAATGCAGGTGGCTTTTGGCTATTACCAGATCAGGGTAGTCCTAAAAGAGAATCAGTTTTTGTACTCTTGTGTGACTCCAGTAACAAATCCCAGAACCCAGCTATGCCATTCTTGGATGACTGATGTCAATAGGATTTCACTACTGACTGTGGTGGGGAAAAGTGGAGCTGGGACACCCTCTCAAATGTCCGCATGTTGAAGGTGAGATGGACTTTTAACAAACAGCACACTTGCTTGTGAGCCTAATTTAATGAAGAATCTGCTCCACATTTATCGTTTTTATTGCAGTGTGCTTGCTCATGGACTGAGATACGACCTTGCAGGAAAGCCAGCAGCAGTAAGTTTTCTAAAATTGCTTGCAAATTGAATGGCTCCGGACTGACAGCCAGGCAGAATGCTTGTTGCCATACAATAGTTGTTGCCCTCGCTATGCTGCAGGTGGTGTTTCCCCAAAAGCGCTAGTGTCCTTTCACAGGCAAGCCTTGAACGTTAATGGGATTATGTATGCTGGAGGATGGTGAACGGGATCACTTAAACTATAAAAATGCTTCTGTATAGTTTTATCTATTCAGTAAATTATCCTCTGGAGTGAGCGTGCGCATCCAAAGCACTCCTTTGTCCAGTTCAGATTCAAACCTGGCCTTTTGCCGAGTGAGAAATGTTGCTGTAGAAGCAGTGGCCACAGCAGTGCTTCTTGTTACGCTGGAATTTGCACTTACCTAGCTGTGTTCTCTCCTCTTTCTCAGAGCATGATGGAGGACTGTTTTGTTTTACTCTTCTCCCCAAATTCAGCTAACATCAGCACAGTTCTCCTAGAGCTCTAATACCAAAGAAAGGCAGCCAGTAATGCTGGACTAAACTTACTGAATTCCCACTTCCGTCTGAAATCTCTGACTCAAGAGTCTTTATCTGAAGAACTGTGTCATTTCCTTGCAATGCTCAGACCATTGTACCTCTCTGCAAAATAAATGTAGAGGCTTAGTCAAGCCTGGGATCATCAACTGGAAGAGCTGCTTCCTTCTAGTGCCTTAAGCCCTAGCTGATCATCGCTGAGTGCTCTTAGTATTCATATGAGGTGGTCTGGTGTTTTGTTGTTAGAAAATCTGCCTTATTGCAATGAAAAAGGTTCTTTTGGAACACCAACCCCCTTTTGCGTCTTGCCGTTGTTCTAGGACTCTTCTTGCCTTAAGCCATTTCTATCTTAAAATGGCTTTAATGCAGTTAATTCCCTTTCATGTTTTAAGGGCATGCTGTCATGTTACATTGGGTTAGGTGAAGTGTTTAACACCAAGCTGCCAGTTGCAAAAGATTCTAGGTAACAGCACTGAGAACACGTAAGAGACATCAAAGACGCATGAGAGACATCAATGCTGGGAAATGGAGGCAGCCTTTCTGGATGCCAGGAGCAGCCTGAGAGGAAAACATTGTATGAGGGAAGGTATCCTCAGTGTTACGTTGCACTGCTACCTCTAGCTGGAAGAAGGAAAAGATGTTTAACAAAGAAATAAAGTTCTGTTCTTAAGAACATTTTGGTGTGGCCTGTTGGAGGAAAAGGAGGGTAGATGAGCCCAACATCAGTAAAAAGCTCTCAGTCAAGGTGTTGAGACATGCCAACAAGAGTAAATGCATCCTCTGCTTTTGCTTCATTTGTGGTTACCTTTCAGACTTCTTCAGCTACTGCAGCCCCACCTATCAGCACTGGAGTGCTTCAGGTGCAGAGCAAAACCAGCTTAATTGGTAGTTCTGGAAAATGGATAGTGCAAGAGGTCTGTTCTGCATCCCCTTTATTATGGGGGTGCGGTGCATTGTGTAGCACATCTCTTTCTGCAGAAACAGTCCTTATAGTGGAAGTTAGTTGTAGAAGGTAAAGCCCAAAGAGACAAAAGGTAAGGAAGGATAAACTGGTAATACCAGTAGCACTGAATACTGGAACAATGTTCTGTTCCCCCATCCCTCTATGCATAAAAGTCATATAGCAGAGGAAGGGAAATTTCCAACAGCTTGGCAGCTGCCTGAAATCTGTAACTACTTTTAATGTGCAACTCACAGCAGAAAACATCTTTCCAATGAATTTTTATAGGACATGCACATTGGCATTAAGTGTACAAGAAATTAACAACTTGAAACCAAAGAAGGGCAAAGGCCTAATAACAAAGTAAGATAAATACCTTGACTTTTTTCAAGTGTATATCTGTACCATTTATTTGATAAAGTATATAGGGCTAATAAATTACCATCCAGAGTACTTCTGCTGTCTCCTTAGCTATTGTCTTGTTACAATGCACCTTCATTACGCTTTCAACCCTTAACTGCTATGTTGCTGCCATTTTGAGAAAGAGGAGAAGGAGAATCCCATGGCAAAAGATCTTTCAAGTAGCAGGCAAATGACTACAGAAAAAGCCACTTTGAAACTGCTAATGCAGCCTTTTGTAACCAGTCTCCCTTGAGGAAATAAGCAGTGTTTGCAATTTATTCCAAGAACTGACCCCAGATAAGGAATGAAGTATTTTTTTTTTACTGTATATACATATGTACTTGTTTTAATGTAAATTAACAACAAATAACTTCATATTAGATAAATCTCTCAGACCTAGGTATCTGCCACAGGTTAATATCTTCTAGGGCTTCACTCCAGAATTTTCCAGAGAAAATTGCATAGTGCAAATGCAGTAGACTTAGCCAGCATGTCCCATCAGTACTTGAATTACAATGCACCTGAGTAGATGCTACTGCTTTATAAAAGCAAAATCCCTGTGGTCATCCTTCCTGTTCCCAGTTGTTAACAGCCACCTCCCACCACTCTTTCAAGTCCCACTGTGTGAAGCATGTGGTGCTAGGCCCAATTATATCCATATTGTACTCTTTTGAGCTATGGCTCTTAGGACACAGTAGGAAAAAAAAGTATTTTGTAGACCGCAAGTAAAGCTTATCTACTTGAGGTGAAAGTTGCAGCTCGCTATACTGCTTCACCAAAATTCACCTCATAATATGAGCTGTTAGGATTTTCAACAATGGCAACACTTCACATAACAAAAGTAGTCTCTGTAGGACGCTGTACTGATATGTAGCATACAATCTGAGTAACGGTCCTACACATAGGCAGGTCACAGTCTTCAACTGCAAAAGTACCTCTTTGTATCCAATGTTGTATTTGAGGCACTCATGACTGCCCATCCACTCTTCCTGGGTGGACACTAAGCATCTGAACAGGTAACTATCATACCGTCTTCCTTCCTGAAGCTAGGACCAGAGCTCACGCAGCTTTGTCTCCCACCTGTGCTGGTTCACCTTCATAGAAGCATTAGGTGCAATTGCTACAATAAATGTTAATCTAGATAAGAACATGGAATTACAGAAAATGCCTACTATTCTTCAAAGTGCAAGACCATGTCCGGTCAGTACTATTCATAACACCTGTCACAGGGACTGATACAGGGCCATCAGTGGTATGACTGTTGTAAGCAGAGCAGTTAACATAAAAGACTCCCTCTGTAACAGCTACTTTTCTTCTAAACTGGAATAAAGACAGAGACAGCAAAGAAACTAAAGAACTGGTATAAATAGAAAATGGTTTATTTAAAAACAAAACAAAAAATCACACTCCAGCGTGTAGCCAAAGGTCTGACTTTAATTTAAACTACGTACCCAGCATCCATGCTTCAGAAGTCATGTAAGCATGCATATGGAAGGAAGGGAAGCTGGTGCCTGCTGGCATGCTCCTCAAAACCTCCCCTAGAGTGGTCTTTGGAATATATTAAGTTTGTTAGCAGGGTATGAAGTTTGAATTCCTACAGGGCACTGAGGAAGTGAAGAACAGGTGTCTGTATTTACACATACAGGATTTCCACAACCATCTGTCAAACAGAAATGCAATTTGCTGCATTTCTAACAGCTGGGGAAACAGTGACAAATATGGAAAAAAATGGAAGTAAGCATGCATACTGCAAGTTTTTTGTAATTTTTTTCCCTAGGACAGTTTACTTATGAGGAAGTATTTCATTTTATTTCACAAGTCTATGCAAACTACTTACAAGAAAAGTATTCAAAAGAGAGCCCTTTTGAATACTCAACCATCGAGAATTACATGTGAAATGTAGCTTTCATATGCGGGTTAAGACTTTCCACATAAGAACAATGCTGCAATCCTCCTTTATAACAGAAGGGAATGGATTATTAGAATGCTATTCCTAAAACATTCTTCATTTTAAAGTAACTAGTTCATTAATAAGACTGTTTTTAAATGAGTTGTTCTGAAAGCAAGCTTTCGAGATCATCCAAAAGGAGCTTATACGCATGCTTTGTTTTCATTGCTAAAGTCATCCCCAATGAACACTACTCAGGTCTATGGTTTAGGTATGTGTAAAGCGTGATGAGGATTCTGAAAAGACTTTTTTTTTTTATCGAAGAAGCCGCTCAGCCTCCTTGGACTTGCTTTCTTTTGTTTTCCTCAGTAATGCCTGTTTTATAGCATTGATCTTTTCATCAAGTTCAGCCAATGAATAGTTCTGCTAAAAGAACAAAATAAAAACCACAATCATTTACATCTTGTAATTGCTAGAGAAGTGGCCTAGCATTTGATACTTGAGGTCACTGCACGTTGCACCAAATGATAGAAATACTTTTGCAGAATTGTCTGAATCTAGTCTATGGCTATTTAAACTTGAAAGAAAAAGAATGTAAACTTAGAATAAACTGACAGTCCTAATCATGGATCAATATATCCATGCTACTTCCATTAGATGCTTGTTTAACCTGTTCATTAAAAAAAAAAAAATCCGTTGATGGTAAAACACTGGATGAGACTATCTAGATTGTCTAGAACCCAGCTTTACAACTGAAGGGTTTTTTTCCTATTACCCAACATCAATCTCCTCTGTGCCCACTCAACCTGACAATTTTTTTTATCTCTTCTTACACAAAGAACTGGTCATAATCGTTTTTATAAAAATATTTCACCCTTCGGAGGATTTTTTTCTCGTGTAAACAAGCCTACTTCCTCAACCCTCAGATGGCCCACATCCCATTCTAAGCATTCTCCCCACTCCATCTGTCTCCAAGTGGGATGGCTAGTAGCAGACAGTGTTCCAGCTACGGTCCACTTGCACTGATGAGAAATTCTCTCTTGTGGCCTAAGGTACACTGTTAATGTATTCCCTTATGCGATGGTGTTGTGAAAACAGCAAGTCTTACTGACTTAGGTTAATCTCTGCTATAACGTCAGGCCTTTCTGCAATACTTTTGCCGAGCCAGCCATTTCTACTTTTATTGTCTCTTCATAAACCGATAAAGCGAATTAAAAAAACCCAACCAAACAAACAAAAAACCCTAAAAAAACCCAAAAACAAAAAACACCAAACCACAAAACAAAACCAGAGGCCATTACTAGGAGGCTGATCAGAATTCACAAATTGCTTGTTACCCTAGCTTGACTGACATCATTACAGATTTATTTTATTTTATCATCCTTCTAACTGGTGAAAACACTAACCTACCCTAGTACAGACTCCTAGAAGACTCATTTCATTGTGACACCCATTAACTTTCTTTCTCCTTCCCACCCTTTCTTTGCCAGCAAGCTATCCAATACTGACGCAGCTATTTCTGAGAAGTTAGATATTTGCTTTGTAGAACTTCTGATTACTTTTCACTCAAAATATCCTAAACTTAAGGTAAACAAAAGTTAACAGCACTTACGTGGGGAGGTTGAACCTTTCTCCTCTTGCCAGAACAGCTCTAAAGAAAAGACATAATCAAAACAGACTTAATGTTGCACTGACAGAGGACCACAAGTAATTCTGTAACAACACTGACAAGTGTCTTCAAAGTACAGAAAGAACAGTGACTGCCATTCCATGGATTAAAGAAACCTTTTTATAATTAAGTGTACTTTGGATCATGAGAAATACCACTGGAGAGCAGTCAGAAGCTGTTGAAGCTTCTCCACGCTTGGCAGCCAACAACTATCAACTTAACTGAAGCTTACTTCAGACAAAACCAAGATCAATATCCAGCTTTTGAAACTGTCAATATTTTTCTCCCTAAAATTTTCATGTATCCACACCAATATTTATGCAAAACTTTGGGCAAAAAAAATGCTAATTACTGCACAACACTACTATTGCCACCATCACAAATTTTTCCCAGATCCCCATTCTAGAAAAGACCCTAAAGCACTTTCTGTGGAAATTTCAGCTTATGAAAGTGTATGTTTTAGCTTCTAGTTTCCAACAACTTGAACAAATAGTCTCACAAATAAAGGACTTTATTGGTCTCCAACACAAACAAAACAATGAAACAAAAATTTGTAATATCGCTATTGATTTTTAAATGCTAACCCTTCTTTGTCTGCTCTCAAGGAGAAGATATAAATTAAAATATGATCAACAGTAAAAAAGGCATTCTTACTGTTACATGGGGAAAGAAGGAAGAGCAAGATAACAGACAAGAAATTTCTATAGCCAAGCAGAGCCTGATGTAGTAACAACTAATGTTCTCTTTGTCCTAATCTCCTTTGGCGAATGAAGGGTAAGGTTTACTATTCAGAAAGAGACAGAACTCTGCCTGAAAACTAGCAACAAAGGAATCTGAGTCATAGAATCACATGAAACAATTTTTAAAGGGTTTACTCTCTCATCCTATTGGAACGGTTATTTCACATAGCTGATCTTTAGTAATGAGATCATGTACAGAAGCCCAAAGGATTTCAGCTGATTTAAGCCATTAATGATTTGTACTGAGATCAAAACTTTAGTCAATTTTCTCATCAATTAGTCAATTAGAAACACTTCAGATTTTAAGGCGAGGGGGGAGAAATCCAACCTTTACAATACATTCCTTACCAATTAGTTAAGCTTGGGTGGCTGCAATTTTTTCCCTCCAACAAATACTGTTTTCTTTCAAATGAGAAATTAGGTAGAAATACGAACTTATATAGATGGCCCACATGAAATGTAACCATTACACCAAGCCAGAGTTGTCTACCAAAAGCGTCTGTCCTCTAACTCCTTAGGTTTTTGCCTCTACATCAAAGATTTAAGCACGAAAGTCCCGAATGCATTTAGGTATGCTAAAAGAAGTTGAGAGAATTTCTTACGACAGATTGAAAATATTCAGGAGACAGTCCTTCCAGCTCGAGGATTTTATCTTCAAGCTTCTTAATTCTCTGATAAATGTCTCTTGGTACAGGACCACCTAAATACACCAGTACAAATAAAAAGAAATCAGGAAAAGCACTTGAATAACTTTTTATACTAAAGTTTGCAAGTTTTACAGGTGAATTCTTCGAGTCCAGCTATCAACCAGTAGCTGAAATAAAATGAGTGGATGGGATAACAAAAAGGAAGGGCAATTAATGTCATTCAGGGTAAAACCTGGTTGATAAGCCAGTGCAGTCAATGAAGGCAACAGACAACTTTATGCACATGACTGAAATATGTCTGACAAGGTCCCTGGAACAACTAATGATCACTCTTACAATACATTGGTCACACACCAAATGTTACCACTTCAAAACTGACAGCAGCATCAGGAGGGAGCAGATGGGATGGCAGACTACACGTGAATTCAGCATTGATATCCAAGATTGTTCTGAAGGAAACCTATCTCCACTAAGCATCAGAGGTTAGAGGACAGGTATGAGCTGCGCTTGACAAAGAACAGCGTTTGCTTGGCCATAGATCAGAGAAGCAGAGGTGGGGAATATGTGTGTGTAATGGAATAAGAGAGCTTTGGGAAAAAACCAACAAACAAACAAACAAAAACCCCCACCAAACAAAAAAACCCAACAAACCCCACAAACATCACAAAAACAACACCAACAAAAAAACCCCACCTCAACCCATTTGCTGTTTGCAGCTATACTACAGCAGCTTGGGCTTGTTTCCCCATGTAAGAACAGAACTGATCAAAAGATCAGCCTTAGAAAGCATCCTATTTATGCTACATAGTATTCTATAAACTGAAATCACTGTTTATCACAACTAACTACTGGCTATCCCAATTAAAATGATAGTCTGGTTCTGACAGTAGTGACAACCAAGGCCTTAGCAAGCTTTTACTTCTTCTCTTGCCACCTGTTTCCACTTATTTCTAGGTCTGTTAGGTAAGACAATTAATTTTATTCCATGAACTATTGAAATAAGCACTAATGGGTTTTTTTGCCATTCATCTATTTCCTCACTTCAGACAGACAATTTTTGGGGTAGCTTCCCTCCTTCAGTTCTGCTCTCTACTCATCACTCAGCAGCTACTAATTAAATCGGCTAACCTCTCACTCTTCTTAATATTGCTGTCTCTCAATGTAAAGGGAAAAGAGTAGTACTAGCACTAGAAGAAGCTGTTCTGAAAAACAGCAGGTTAAGTCAACAACTCTTTCAGTCATCAGAAAGAAAAACTGGTGAACAGGTAGCTGAGGCAGGTTACCTGCTCAGATGAATACTTTTTGTACAGCTGCTGGGGTAAGTAGCAAATGATCTTGAGACCTTCCCCAGGAATGCTGATTTGGACAGGACTTGAACTGGAATTGCACACTTTCATCCTCTTCCCCTATACTGTTGTTTAACTGACCTGTTCCTTCAAACAAAATTACGTCACCTATTATAGGCACAACCTGGAAGCAAGCGCCCCTCCTTAGCTACCCCCAATCATTATCTCTGATATGCGTAAACTCCAAAGCTACTATATGTTGTAACCTTAATGCTGGCCAGCCACTTGCAAATTCTATTTCCATGCACAAAAAACACCTTATTTTTGAGACAGCTATACATCTAAGCATCAAGCTCTGACTGCTGCATCAAGAGTATCTAGGAGTATTCTACTCTCCTTGCCGCCAGAGGACTTTGATCCAGTATGCATTCACAGGAATCTAGTAATCTAGTCAACGTTCACCATATTCTTAGAGAAAGGATTGGCATCTATTCAGTATTCAGAAGACAAAAAAAAGTCAGTGTGTGTCTGCCGTGTGATGTGTAGAACATTCACTTTATTAGGTGAAGATGTGGGCTTCTGTTCTGCTTTGAAAACATTTTTCAGGAAAAATACAGATTCCTCCTTTGTAAGTGCCTTACTGATTTATGTTCTAGAAAACTGGAGGTGGGGTGAGGAAAACAACTACTTAAAAAAAGTCAGTAGCCTGGTGGTTATGGCGTTTATTTTAGTGAAAGGTATGGACTCATGTTTGCATGGCTAAAGGGAAGTATTGACAACGAGCTTCCCACATTCTGGGAAATAAGCCTCCACCTAACTGTATTTCAAGAATCATCCACCTTTAGGAAAAGATTTCAGGTTGCCTTTTGGGTTCATCCTATCCCCAGCCCACCAGGTGTCCATAAAGCAGGACTGAGTCCTAACCTCAGCTTTTCCTGCTCAGTGGGTCAAGGCAGAAGGACTCCACCGGCTATGGAGAACCCCTGCCTCCAAATATTCCAGATTGTTTTAAATCCCATTCTCTCTCGTTTGCCACCACATCAAGTGTAGATTTACTAACTCAGCATTCTAATTTGGGCATAAATCTGGGCTCCATTTTGGGCATAAGAACTTAAACATTAGATTGTAGTACTTGGGGTGACTAAACCCTTCAGTGGATCTATCCACTGTTTTTATAGTCACAATTTTTATAGACTTGCCTAGTTTCACTACAGCAATGACAACTGTAGTACAAACTGGCACACCGATGTCAAAATTAAAACATGACACAAACCTGTCTGTAACCGTAAGTGTGCTTCAATGTTCTGCAATCTCTCCTCAACAGCTTGGTTTCCACAATCATGAATGGGTACATTGGCTTTGTGAATGGACCCATGTGCTCCTTCAGATCTAGTCTGAGGTCCATATGTATTTACTACCCTAGAAACTAGGTAAAGAGAACACACGTTTAACATATATGCACATGAAACACAAAGTACATCTAACTAAAACAATCAAAATATTAAAATATGAAAACCTGTGTTAAATCAATTTCACACCAGTCACTCATGTGAAGGCTCCCACACACATTAAGATCAAAGGTTCAAGTAAAAGAATTTTCCTATTTTTGCATGAGTAACTAAACTAAACAAAAACCTAGGACTTTACATATGCAAAGTAAAAGAATTACTCATACATTCACGTAGAATGGCAGTATCAAGAATTTGTCATCAGCTGCTGATAAATAGCAGAAAACGCGGTATCTATGTCAGCAGTTGCACATGTGAGCTGTTGTGAATGCAAAGAAGAGGCCAGACCTAATATTACAGGAAGCATCATAAATACATGAAGATGAGGGGAGGTATACAACTAGAAGAACCGCTACAAATCTCAGCAAGGAAGTTCTCTTCTAATTTTTGTTATTCAGGTAACGGCTTTAATGACTCTTCAGCTGCTTTGCTGAACTATGTCTTCATCAGAAGATTTTGGTCACTTCTCTTTAAAACACAGCCATTTCTCAAGTCCTTCCTAATAGGACTACTGCAGCGTACTGCAGACTTAAAGACAATGTTGGCAACTCCAGATACTGAAGCACACACCATCTTACTCAAGTCCTTCATGAAGGCCACATCTTACATTCTTGCTTCAGTTTATGCTGGTTTTACTTCCAATTACTTTCTAAGTGTTATTCACATTTCAGTTATGAACTGTTCGGGTTTTAGTTACTTGAAGTGCAAACTTTTTTCTTCCCTGTAATATGCTACCATCCAAGTTACAAACTAGCACTCAGTTTAAATAAGTGACAACTGAAAGGAGTTCTTAGTGAAAGATTCTAAATTCAAACTCATTTCCCCATCTCCCTCTTAGCTCACCAGACCTTTTAATGCTTATACCTATCATTGTGCTTCACAGTATTATTATGAATTTTAGAATTCAGAATAATGAATTGGTTTCTAGAACCAGTATCAAGTGGATAACTGAATACTACCACTCTCAAAAATGGAAAAAAGGTTACTTTCATTCTCATTTTGGAGATTTTGTTTGTTTGGTTTTAAACACAGAGTAACTTGTGTACACCTAGAGAGCAGTAGATGGACAAGCAATCTTTTATACATAACTTTGGTTGGACAATCATTTCTACGCTATTTACTCCTTTCCAAAAGGCAGTGCATTGGTAAGCTTGTTCCTCAGCTTGTCACTTCCCATAAATCTATGTCTCAGAACCTTCACTGTGTCCCAGAACTATTTCCTAATTTTATATACTTACACCGACTAATGAAAAATAGAAGATAATTTTATTTAATCTCAATTCCTTAACTGGACTGCTGGCTTCACCTTAGACGAAAAGCTAAGAATTGTTCAGCTTCTCTGTCCTGGTTTATCTTTTGCATCTTTCCTTTCAGACAATGAAAATAGGCCACTTTGTCTTGGTCTTTAGTGCATAACCATCATCTTAATGAAGCAGTTATGGGATTGAAAACCTTGGAGAAGTAAGTGAAGATATAAAAGTATTCACTAGAGTCAAAAATCAACATGTTAAATTTGCATTTTTTGAGCATTCTATAAAAAGTTTTTAAGTCAAAAATTCATCAATGCTGTTCTATCCGGACACTCTTAATAAATGGGTATTAAAATAGTTGCTTACCCTTTATATGGCTTTTAAATCCAGGATAGGGTGTGAAAATTGCATCTGTTCTGGCACAGCTATTTTCTAAATAAATAATAATAATATAAAAAGTGAGGTCCTAATTATGTATTTATAATTTAAAATATTCTAACCATCAGCAGCTTTGAGGCTTTTAACAAATCTAATTAAAATTTTTCATACAATAAAAACATCAGAAATACTTCATTCATTCTATAAACACTTGCTTACTAGTAGTTTCACACACTTGCATGGACCTACTGCTTTTAATTGGGTAAGTCACTTTTATATACATGTGTGCATACATTTATACATAATTTATATATTGGATCAGGACCAAATTTCTTTCAATTTACAATTTATTTGGGTCTTACTTTTCACTGTGTTTCTCTGTAACTTATTTCTTTCTTCCTGTACAGAAGTCTTTTCCCTGCTTACCACTGTTATTCTGACTTTATGTCCTTTTTTGAAACCGTTCTCCTCCTATTTTCAGACTGATCTAGTTTACTCATCAGCATTCTTTTCTCACCTTCCTGAATTTATTCTGATGCCTGTGACTTCTTTAATTTGTTTAACCATAAAAACCTTAGTTTACCATCTTAGTTTATTCTAATGTTTATATTTTAATCTCTATTCATATACACCAAAGCTTTACACATATTTTATTACGCCTGAACATACAAAGGAAGGTCTTATCATCATTTCTTCTGTACGTAATTAACAATTTTAGGAATCAGTATTTTACTAACTAGCGTATTCTACTAGACTTCAGATGTCATTTTCATTCCTAATGAAACTAATGAACTAATTCCTAATTCCTAGTTCATTCCTAATGAACTAATATTCAAGGAGTTAAACTCTCTTCCTATAAAGCTTACGGAACAATAAGCTTTGATCTCTAAAAGCATAAGTACATCACAGAGACAATGCACATCTGGGTTCACAGGTACTTAGAAAATGTCTCCGTACTATTTATGTATATAAAAGTGTCTTCACTTTTAAGACGCCTTTGGTTACACAGTTACTGATCATGCTAATGAGATCCAGCCTACCAGATGGATTTAAGATTGTTTGATTATAGATACAGCCAATTGTGCCAGTTGGTGCATTAAAAACACCAATAGGCTGAGTAATGTTGAAAAGAAAAAGTTATTCTAAGTAGCTAGTAATTCAAATTGATTGCAAAAAATACTTCTTTGTAATTTAACCAGCATTAAATTAAATTCAATTTGAATATGCAATTCACAAGACATTTTTTAATTGCAATTCTGTTAACTTTGGAAGGAACATCTAGCTAAAACACTGGGAACAATAGCTACAAAATCATCTGACTTAAGATCTCAGTTCTTAAAGTGAACACAGTAATAGCTAGAATCTTTCTGTATGGGATGCATTAAACATTGACATCCAGTGACTACTTTCTTTTTTTGTCTATCTGAAAACATCTGCAGTGCACATGCAAGTTCTTAACTTTAAAATAAAGTTACTCTTAAAATAAAGTTCTGTTTTAAATATAGAATAGCACTTTTGAAAAACAAAAAAATAAAACCCCAACTTAAATTGCTATGAAGATTAAAGTCTGGCTAGCCAGTTACCTTGATTACAATCAATAACATTGCAAAATTCCCTGACATTATTTTCATTGATCTCAGCTTGTTTCCTCTCGATGAAGGCTGATATCCGCCTGTCAATCTGCAGGTAATAAACATGATGGCATATATCTATTTCATTCTTTAAATTTAAAATTTAGAAAGGTCTTTTTCTTTTTTTTTAAATTTAGGTAAATCACTTACTTCTGCTTTTCCAGCTTTTATTTGGACCACCTCTGGATCAAAATTAACATGAGCATCCTTCAGATCTCCCAAGTCATAACTTGCATACTTTTCTTCAGTCTGATAGTTACCATCATAAACATCTAAACTTGTTTCATAAGTTTGGCCTTCTGTTTTACCTGCAGGTTCAACATGGCCTATATTTTCCTCTTTAATCAATGACTGGAGTTTTTCTAAAAGAGGCTGAACAAAGAAAACAGTATGTTAAAGTCAAAAAAGAAAAAAAGCCAAGTACTATTTCTAAAACAGACCAACTGAAATAATTTTAGGAATTACAACATCTGCCCCTGATGGAACACAGTAATAAAAAAAAAAAAGAAAAAAAAACCCCTATAGTTCCAAATACTGTGCACACCATGATTCTAGCCTTTTTGACCCGTGCCTTTTAGAGGTTTGTATAGGAAAACTCCCGAATTTCTGCAAAAATCTGCCTACTACTCCTCTGTTACTAGCACAATCAAAGCTTCAATCGCTCGCACCAATGCCACTTAATTAACGTGTCATTCAAATGCCTACTCAGAACAGTAAGGCTTAGTATTTTTCCTCCTTAACATGAAAGCCCACGCTTTTACACTGTAAAGCCTTTACTTTATCACTACAGCACTACATTCTCCACTTGAAACTGCAGTTGCCCAAGCAAATGAGAGAACACAGACATGAAATATATAGGCGTTATCCTGAACACATGCTTTTCTTGACACGGTTGATTATCCACTTAGGTCATGAAATTAAATGAGAGAATGCACTGACATTTGTAGCAGCAAAAATAAATGCTTATTATTCTACCGCAATAACTCTTACACAAGATGTAATAACAAAACCTCAGTACATATATATGTCACACCCCCTTTTTTAATTTTTACCAATTTCATCTAGTCTGAATTTCACTGCCTATTTTCCCTCTAGAATTTTTTTTTTTTTTTAAAGACAACATGATTTTTACCAGTCACATTTCCTGAAAAGGAATCAAATTCCTACTCGCAGCGTTCTTACAGTTGGATATAATTTTTACTTGCTTTTATCTTGCATATTTTCTCTTTTTGTTTATCACACCAAAGATTTGGTGGATGTCTGGAAAACATAAAGGGTCTTTCTTTTACCTACAGACAAGCAAATACAGGAACTTCCTTTTTCACCCTCTCAGTACGACACATTTGAAATAATTAATTGACTAGCTGAAGCAAAAAACTGGTATTCAAATCCTCACCTTTTACAGGTGAACTATCAAGGTCAAAATACTGTTCAGTTACCAGCTGACAAACTGCTCACCCTCTTTGCCATGCAACTAAATTACACGTACTTTTGGCACGGTTGGAAAGTTTCAAATAGTTAAAAGAAATGACAGTAATGGTGACTGGCTACTTGGCAAGATGAGACATTAATGTCAAAGAAATTACTCTTTAAAAAAACCCCCAAACCTACGCTGAAAATACATTTAATTGCAGTAAGACACTCCAGGATGTGTCATGCTGGGATAATGCCACTTCTTGAACCACTGAAAGCACTCCATGTGCCTCAAAACTCACCCAACGCATGGAATCATTATCATAGCATGACACACACCTGCCGTGTCTTATTGCTTAATTATAACCCACCATAGATGGAAATGTATCACATTTACAATGCAAGTCTAGAAATCAATGAGGCTGCATTTATTCAGCCTGCTCACCTACAGTGGCTACTCCCACCACCAATCTGAAAAATCCGTAAGTGTGAGTACCTATGAAGCATAGTGGTATCCCAAGCATACTTTTGCATTCTTTTTTGTTGGACATAGCAATATGAGATCAAAATGACTGAAATTTTACAGTTTAGATAATATAACTACATTCAGTCGTTGATCACTTTTGTCAAGTTGAATGTGTCCAATGAAATATTTACCTGCAAGCATAAAATATGCTGCTGAAGTGCACTAAAAAGCAATGTTGGCTGAAGTGCTGATGTGCTTTGAAGCTTGCTCCAATCGATTACAACTTTCACGATATCGTCTCCAAGGTTAAGCTTCAAGAGGGCAAAACAAACACAACAAAAAATTACATTGTTATGTTGTATTAACATCCCAGAAGTATACAAGACTTCTACAGGACAACAATTATGCTCACTCATACAGATCCCATTTTTGTATGAGGACATTGGAGGTTTGACATTAATTATAATTCAAGCAGCTGTCATTTTCAAGGTAAGCTAGTATTTGTAGAGTATATTCAAAAATTAAAAGTTTCTTACTACCTCATCACACTTTCATTGTATTAATTTGATCTTTAACTTCAGTCAATTCTCAATTCAATTAACTATCATACAAAAACATACCGTTCATGTTAATCGCTCAAATCTTTTCTTTTAACAGATGATAGAACCACCAGCAGGAAGAAATATGCACCCAGGATGGCAGTCTCCTGTAAATTCATGTATTTTATTCTGAGATTTGCAAGGCTATCTATGCCTGTATGACCAAGGCATAGATACTGCACCATGCCACATTCTTGAAATTTTTACTTGCTGCTAATCCAAAGGAGGCTTTATATTAAAAATAAGTGTTTTAAAAAAAAAAAATCTTTAAAAAAATCTCGAGGCTGAACAAACTCTAGACTACACAGCACCACTATCAAACCCATTTCCAAATCACACTATTTCCCTCTATATGCATTCAGATCAAAATAACAATTGCCATAAGTCTATTCTCTTTGCCAAGGAATTGCAATATTTAACTTGCAAAGCAATAAAGACAAACACACATAGTGAATCTGAAGTTTTATTTAAAGGAACTATGTATCTTCTATAAGCTAAAAATAAACTTTCACTTTCTAATACAAAGCTGATCGTTAATAATCACTGGTGAACTACACACTTTCACACCCACCTTTGCCATTTTTGTTATGCTAAAGATCATAGATCAAGATCTTTGTTAAGCTCAAGATCAGCTTCTCAAGAGGACTTTCATTTCCCAAAGCCAAGTAGGTTGCTCTGCAACCAAATAACCCGTAAGTGATCCCCCAAATTCTAAATACAGGTAAAACTCTTGTTTAAAATCAAGAGGACCTACAGGTACTCTGTTTGAGACACAGAATTCCCAAGTCATATGCACACTTGTATGTCTACATCTCATTCCTTCCATTTAAAAAAAAAAAAAAAAAGGAAAAAAAAAGACCTCAGGCAGATGACCAAAGTGACCTTTAACATATGGTCTAAAGAGATCGAACTTCTAATGGCACTAAATATTATGGACAAGAACACAGAATGCATATGCACTTGTTTCCCAAATGAGAACTAAACACAAGAATGCCTCCATCACTCTGAAGGCAAAGCAGTGGATACTAAGTTGTTCTACGTTAGTTTTAAACCCCAGCATTATCACAATTTTATATGTAAAGAACTATAAGCCGGAGCCTTCCTTCTTTAGTCAAAGAACAGCCTTGTTAAATCCAGTGTTAGATTCCAAATTACATAGCAAAGGAGATGGTCTGACTAGATATATAATGTATTTTAGATAGTTTTCACACAAATGGTTATTCCTGTTTAGTACTTAGACTACACAGGATGTAGGAAAAAGTAATGTTTTAGGAAATACTGGTTTTGAACATGTTACAAAAACCAAGAATGTATTTAGAACTTAGTAAGAATAAAACTTTACTTTAAGAACTAAGCCACTGTGCATATGTGATCATCTGAAGCACATATTTCTTCCCAAAGTTGCTAGAGTAACACCTGCTATCCACTGACAGGATAAAAAAGGTGTAGATATAAGTGATCGTAATGAAAGAAAATAGGAGTCCTACTGCAACTTCCTAATAAACCTCCTTTTTCAAAAAGAATCAGTTGATGTGTGCCTTCATATCATATCGTGTGACTCCTGTCCAGGTGGTTTAATGTACAAAAACAGTAGAGCTTCTGGCTTAGAATAATTCAGAGGTCAGTGATATTTTAAACTCATAGACACTGTTTTTAAATATAAGTAAAGAATAAACCCCTCCTGCATCCAAACATGTCTCTAGTACAATAGAATTAGTTTTGTCAGTGTTTCACATGCTTCTACCCATAAGAACTGTGACAAGCAGGTTTATAAATTCTGTGATTTGGTAACTTCAAAGTCTTTGTATATTTACAAGCCCACAGCCTATTCTGTAGCAATTTACAGGATAGTAAGTAATTTCAGCCCTTTGAAATTGTTTTATGAAAGACACTGACTGTCACTTGGGGTTTAAAGAACTTTTCATGATCAGTCATACTGGTTTTAAGATTTGTTATCCCCAGATGTCCTCCTCATCACTGTGCTGCAAGTGATTGCTCTAGTAAAAACATTCCTGTGCCAGAAATATTCCTGTTTACAGTCCAACCTGCTAGCATAAATCCAACTTAAACTACTATGACGGATCACAAACTGTGACAGTTTACAATCTGGCATATGTTCACTCATCTCCATAAAAGGGAAATGGGGAATCAGTAGTTTCAGTCAAAAATGCAAGGTGGATTGCTAGAGTCAGTAAGCTGGTAAAACACCACAGTTAAATTTACCAGAACTCAAGTGCTGGCAGACAAGAGTGCAACTCAACAACTGGAAATAATCATGACCGAGCAATTAAAAGGGCCTTCTCAGCTAAGATGGAGCAACTAGACCCCTACTCATAGTTCAGTGCAGTGCTCCGTAAAATGGGTTTGTTGTCATGGAAAGAATACACTCCAAACACCAATGAAGACAATTTTACTCTGCACTGTAACTACTGTAACTCTACTGAGGGGATATAGCAACTCTAAACTGGTCTCTTGCAATTGTCTGTGCATACCCAAATATTGTTAAAAATCACTAAGCTCTCTCCAGTGACATGCTAGACATAGTGCAAACTTTGGAGAACAAGTAAGCTACTGAAGAAGAGAGAGAAACTAGCGTGTTTAATGTAGTTTTCAAAACAATTAATTAAACTTGTGATGAGTACCCTAGTTAAGAACTTAGGAAACTTTTCCTTTATTCTTCTTTGTGTTTTTCATAAATACAAGAGTTCAACTTTTCACTCATGTTAACATTGTAAGAACAACAGTATGAATGACAGTATCGCATCTGGATAAAATGACAGTCACTAGTTCTTCATTGATTACATTTAGAATTTTCACCAGGAAGAATTATGGGATATTCGTCCTCAATACATAGACAGTTTTCCTGTGTCAGTAATCCTATGAATCAGTGGTGTATGATCATCAAGTTGTTTAGCACTGCATTCCTGTTCAAAAGCTAGGGTAGTTTTTAATCACTTTAGAGATAGGAAAACTGAGACTGTTACTAGTCAGCGCCTGAATTTTCAGGTCCTTAATTTTGGATTACTTTTGTTTGAAAACAGAGACAATAGCAGACTTTGAGGTGAGAAGCAAATATAATACACAACTCTATTCAGATGAGAGGTGAAATGCTCTAAAAAATAATTTCAGATCAGTCAGCAGCTACTACTAAACTGCCTCTGTATCTAAGAGAGTCCATTTCTGAGCATTTTTGTAACATAAACATATATTAAGTTATATTATCTCCTGCAGATATCGCTCATCATCTGGCCCCAAACCTTCAAACTGCTAATTTCAGAAGCAAGAGTGTGCTTCTACTGCCTTCACAGAACTACATATATGCTTCCACAGCGGAAAAGGAATTAATCTGTAAATTATTTATGGTAATAATTAAGTTGTTACTAAAACCATCTCCTGATAAGGGCCTCCCACCGTAACATCTGTTAAATAATTCATAGCCATTACTAAACCTAAAGTAGGCTTTTCAACTTAAGCACCACAGAGCAAAGCTGCTTTAAAAATCCTGACCCACTGAGATGCACTGTGTGTTTCATAGCATGTTATTACCAAGGCAAGGGTAACTTCAAGTTCCTGATCATTTATTTTTATTTAATGCATAGTAATCTTTTAGTAGCTTTTCAATTCAGAATCATTGTTAAGATACAGCAATTAGACAGACTGCAGTTTCTCATGGGAGAGATCATCCGTCAAACTACAAAGCGACACGAGACGTCCCGTCACTAAGAGGCAAAGGCACAGCCACCACTACGAGAAGCAGCAGCAGGCCACGCACCCTGGGGCTGCCCACGCCAGGAGGGATGCGGTCGGCCCCACCAGCCCCAGCCCTGACAGGAGTTTCACCGCTCCCGCAGGCAGGCGTGAACAACCTCCAGGAGCCAGGCCGCTCCCTTGTTTGTGGCAGGCTTTTCTCTCCGGCGCCGTACTTTATCCCTGGAGCCCAGAAGGGCCCCACAGGCCGAGGAGAAGCAGGAGCACGCCCTGCCCGGGCCCCGAGGCGAGGTGAGGCGAGCCGGGCGC